ATCACGGTCCGAAAGAAAATATGATTTTTCTCAAAGAAAAAAAAAATATGTATATATATAAAAGATGGTTTGGGGCCCCAAAATCTTAATATTGGAAGAAGTAAGTAGATTTAGTGATTGAGGTTTTTGGGTTATGTGTGTAGTAGAGCATTCAGTTGTTGTCGACATTATCATTGTCGCAGACACCTTATATGCCGATATTGACGAATCCGTAATCCTCTGCATTGCTGGTGTTCCATTATTGACGAATCTCTTTGTGTTTTTTCTTCCTTTGGATCTGCCACTTAGCTGAATTCGTATGTTATATCAAATTTGGTTTGAATCGTGGAAACTTGTCTATTGGGTTTTAACCAACTTGTTGGGATTTGGTGTTTCCTATGTTCTTATCTTCTTCTAATTAGATTTTTATATCTATAAATCATGCTTCTTTGGAATTGATGTTAGACTAAAGCTTAAACAGAGATGAAGAATTTCGATTATGTGTGTTGATTTTGATTCGAGAAATGGATCTTCCAATAGGAAGGATAAAGACTAATGTCACGACCGTGTTCCGAGGATTTTTAAATTTTTGTGTGGAAATGTTTTTAGACCGAACATGCAGAATGATAAGAAAAGTTTCATTTAAAAGAATTTAAATGGATTGGATTTGTCTATTGGTTTTTAACCTACTTGTTGGGATTTGGTGTTTCCTATGTTCAAATCTTCTTCTAATTAGATTTTTATATCTATAAATCATGTTTCTTTGGAATTGATGTTAGACTAAAGCTTAAACAGAGATGAAGAGTTTCGATTATGTGTGTTGATTTTGATTCGAGAAATGGATCTTCCAATAGGAAGGATAAGGACCAATGTCACGACCGTGTTCTGAGGATTTTTAAATTTTTGTGTGGAAATGTTTTTAGACCGAACATGCAGAATGATAAGAAAAGTTTCATTTAAAATGATTTAAATGGATTGGATTTATATAATGTTTTTCCTCGAAACTAAACGAGCTCATCAAGTCCATTTAACCCATTAGAAACCTTAATCATGTCTATATAAATGGAGATGATGTAAGACTTTAAGACCAAGAGTGTTGCTGCGGTGAAGCACTGCCTGTTTTGCTCTTCACCTCGAAACCCTCTTTGTTGATATATCTGTTCCTAGAAACGGTGAGTCTTTGTTGATGAGATAGACGATGCACGGGTTTACAACGTGGATGACCCCAAATTGCTGCCAATAAGGAAGAGAGGGAGAGGAAAGCAGTGGGAGCTCAGCCTATAGTAACAGAGGAAACAAAAAGGTTTGAAGAGTCGACAGATTCGATGGACTTGGTTCCAACGATAAAAGAAACTAAGGGTGAAAACAGAGAGAATTATAGTTACAGAGGTTGAGAAATTCTTTTCGAAATTGGGTATTGACATAAACGAGGAGACGAGGAAAGCGATAGATAAAGTAAGCCGAGGTCGAGTGAACAAGTTACTGCACGATCTAATATGCAGCATTTGAGATGTGATGAGAGCTCCTGCAAAACGCTGTTGTCTGGTTTGGAGTTATGATGCATCTTTGGGTGCGTATTGTTCTGGGTCTAGGTTAGTAAAATCAAATGATGTTCGTTCGGTTTTTGGAAAAGCAAATCTATGCTTCTTGTGGTATGGGATACTCTACGGTGTTTGCGATTTGGTTCTTGATCTAGTTCTTCCGGAAATTGATTCTGTTGAAATGTCCACTCTACATACTTTTTATTTTTTTTTTTTGGAGAAATAGCACTCTACAGACTGGAATTAGAATGTATCAATTTTACACTTTCGTTGATTTATTCGATAATTAGTTGTAATTCTTGTGAAGTAAAAATTATCTCTTTAGACAATTGTCAATTTGTCATTACACTTTGAGTAATTTAAATATGAAAAAATATCCTGACTTAATCTATGATTCCTTAAATAGTAAAAAAATGAAGCCAATGGTTTCATATTGGCTTATATATTTACACCAAGACTCTGTTTCGGCCCTTTTGAGATGGAAATTGGGCGAGCAAATCCGGAGCCGGAGACTACCTCTGATCCGCTTCTCCGTGAATCAGCCAGCTGTTCCATCCTTCCCGGCCTCCGACCCACAGTGGGATCCTCATGGTGGCAGCGAATTCACAGCAACCATCGCAAGGAGCCAAGGTGGTGGGTCCGGGCAATTCTGAAAATAAGAGAGTGGTCAGAGATCGTAGCTGGTCCACGGTGGAAGACTTTTACCCGCCGATTCAACAGCGATTATCGCCGCGGCCGCGATTGGGACGATAGTGCCAAATTCAAATACGATCCTTTGAGTTACAAGTTAAGTTTCGAGAATGAAAACGATGCTAGATTCGGTAGATTCCAGAGCTTCTCGATGCGTTACGCTTCCGTCCCCGTCGTTTCCGGTAAAGCTACCACCGTTATCAGCGTTGACGCCGAGAAATAATATCTCTTTGAAAAGTGTCTCTCGTCGTTTCCGGTAAAGCTACCACCTTTGTTTATTTTTATACGTCAAGTTTGGTTTGATTGTTTCGTCGTTTAAAGTCGCTACTTTTTTTAATGCGTCATTTGGATATAAAAAGAGGGTTTATTGTTGTTGATTAAAACAAAAAAAAGAGGGTTTATTTTACAAAAGAATATGGTAAATGATTGTTATATGTGTGTCGATTCTTAAATCGAATTATACTTTTACAAAGTTTTCTTAGTTTTGAATTGACTAGAATTTTTCGACCAGAAAAACATAAATAAATAAAAAGAATTTCACTCCAATTTGTTTCAAAAAGAGAAAAAGCTCACATCAAACCGAAGAAGACAAAAACAGACGCAACGGATACGCCTACCCAAAATCACAACCTCGATCAATCCAATTATGGGGAGGTCTAGGGTTTCTTTGGATATCTGCTTCAATGTCTCTGTTTCTCAGCCGCCGCCTCTCCAACAAGCTCTCCAATGTCCCCCGAGATTCACTGGTAAGTAAGATGATGTTTGATGTTTTTATAAGACCATATTTTGAGAAGTATTTATTAGTGATTACGACTGTTAAGATTATGCGTGGAAGAAGTAACTAGGTTTAGTGATTAGGGTTTTTTGGGTTATGTGTGGAAGAAGTCATTACTAGATTTATTGATAACGCTTGTTTTGTTGGTAAATGTGTGGCAGAGCATTCGGTTGTTGTCAACTTCGTCACTGTCGCGAACACCTTATATGCCGATGCGCGGTGAGTTCGTGGGAGATTCTCCAAGCAGTGGCAAGGTCGGGAATCTCAAGGTGTACGATCCATGTAAAGATGAGGTTGTGATCATTAGGGACAAGATAATGCCTCTGTTGTTATTGAACGACATGCGAATGATCGGGTCTTCCCACGGGTGCAATGTCTCTTTGAACGAAGCCAACGCCACTGTGCTGCTCAGCGACGAGTTCAAGCCCGAATCACCTACCCCAAAAGTCATAACACTGCCTCCCATTGTGCCTATGGCAGCTTGCCAGACCAGCCTCGTCACTAGTGTGTCCATGTCCTCTTCTCCCGAGCAGGACGACTGTGTGGCGGCTGTCAAATTCTTGGGATCCCAGCTCAGCTTCTGTAGGCCTTCCTGACTCTGAATGGACCAAAATCACAACCCCAAACTCCAACTACTACTCATCCCGCCTCATGTTCTCCAACAGAGACCGTATGTTCTATATGCCCACTCTTGGAGCCCACTACACGAGCGCATGGGACCTGATCAACCCCAGAAACCTCGCCCCTAAGCTGAACAAGTTTCACTTCTGCAACATGCCCCACTTGCCATAGTCTGAGTGGGAGCTCTTGGACTCCTGTTTCAGAGGCACCGAGCACCTGGTCGAGTCATCCACTGGCCAATCTTTCATCGTTAAGTGGTACGTATGGTAAACACAGTTAAAAACATTTCTCTTCTCTTGTCTTGTTCTCTTACTACATTCACATCTTGCTGCTCTTTTTGTAGCTACGGCCAGACCAAGGGAGCTTTGAACGACTCAGGCCAAGTGGTCTCCGTCCACCAGACTCCTATACGTCTCATGGTCTTCAGCCTCGATGAGGGAAACAAGGCTTGCTACACTGAGGACATCGGCGATCTCTGCATTTTCATTTCAAACGCTGAGCCTTTCTGTCTCAAAGCTAGCTCCTTCCCTGGCCTCACCCCAAACTCCGTCTACTTCATGGACTCTGGCATCGCTGCTTACCATCTCCCCACCCGCACCTTCTGCAGTTTCAACATCCCCAAAGGGCCTGAGCCTCACTCATACGGGACACCGTTCTGGCTTCCCCCTCTCCAAGACTAGACTCCACTCGTCTATGTGTGCTAGAGCATTCGGTTGTTGTCAACGTCATCATTGTCGCAGACACCTTATCTGCCGATATTGACGAATCCGTAATCCTCTGCATTGTCTCCATTGCTGGTCTTCCAATATTGACGAATCTCTTTGCGTTTAAACTTCCTTTGTTAAACTTGGATATGCCACTTAGCTGAATTCATATGTTATATCAAATTTGGTTTGAATCCTGGAAACATGTCTATTTGGTTTTTAACTTGTTGGGATTTGGTGTTTCCTATGTTCATATCTTCTTCTAATGTAGTTTTTTATTTCTATAAATTATGCTTCTTTGGCGAGAGGGCGAGGAAAGCAGTGGGAGCTCAGCCTATAATAACAAAGGAAACAGAAAGGTTTGAAGAGTCGACAGATTCGCTGGAGGTGGTTCCAACGATAAAGAACTAAGGGTGAAAACGGAGAAAATTATAGTTACAGAGTTTGAGAAATTCTTTTCGAAATTGGGTATTGACATAAATGAGGAGACGAGGAAAGCAAAGATAAACTAAGCCGAGGTCTAGTGAACAAGCAACTGCACGGTCCAATGCCGCATTTGAGATGTGATGAGAGCGTGTGCAGAACGCTGAGTGAGACGCTAGAGAACATGCAGGCTCTGACCAGAATGTTTGAACTCGATGCAAAGTTACTCGAAGAGAAGATTAGAGCAAAGGTGAAACAAAAGTAGAGAGAGAGAGAGAGCCTAACTTGTTGCATCTAACTTTTAGGTTCGTAGAGGCCAAACGACACCTTCGTGACATACAAACTCGAGTAGAGACTGAAGATAACTTTTGAGAAGGAAGAAGATGTTTTGATTCATGTCCTTGATGAAAAGAAGTAAGCCACAATTGTTTCATTACGTTAGTACTAAATATTTATAAATATCCGTTAGCTTCATCATTGATGCAAAGAAAGGGAGCTCCATTACTCTCGACTCCACAAAGCAGCACTCAAACACGTCTTCATCTCCATCAAGCGCACGAAGAACGTACTATTCCATCTTTTTCAAAGTACTCAAGTGTAAATGGCTCGCGATTCATTCGGTAATGGGTCTCATACGTCAATCTTCGGGTTTCACGGTCGCTGAAGTAGAGGTCGGGCTTGGTCTTGGAGAAAAGTGGTAAAGAGGTAAATATGCAATGACCACCGATAATTGGACCTTCGACATGCTTCACATCCAACACATAATCCTTAGCCACGATAGCTCTTGCTAACTCTACTTCGAGTTGTCATAACACCTAACAATTTTTTCTGGATTATACATGGTCTTTTGCGTCAATACCTTCGCAGCCATCGGTATGATCGAGTTAAGGTTATCGTTCACAATGGGTATGATAGCACCATGACAACGGTCAGCAACTGCACGATGAAAAACTTACAATCGTGGTGTTGGCAATGAAGGAATTTGGCAATTGTATTGGTAAACGACCAACAATGGCAACCACGTCGATGTCTTTCAAGGTTTCTTCCAACCCAATTAGATGGTCCTTACAGCAAAAAAGCATCAAGTGGGTCAAAATCCTCTACAGAGTAGAGATTAATAGAGACGTAAGTTCTGCTGATGATACGGGATATTTCCATGAGAAATTCCAAGAAGAGCCACTTTGAACGAAGTTTTTATACTAAAATCAACTAGTTATAGGGTATTTTTTGTACAAACAATGACATCAAATTGTTCGTCCTTATATAATTGATTCCCTTAATAGGTTAGAGTAGCAAAATTCCAACAATTTTCTAGTAGTGGTTTAACAAATTTTAAATAACTAGATCATCAAAAAACTTAGTTTACTTTGGCCCATTAAAGATCAATGAAATAAAAAGCTTTTAGTATTTTATAAATCAAATGAAAACTAATTGAATTATTAAAGTGGTGTGACAGTTATAATCTAAACTTTTGATGTTCCATCAATCTAACAAAAACTAATTTATTGGACTCCATGAAAAATACAAAAATGTGTCTTCCTCATCAACAAGTAAACTGAATACACATTGAATACGCAAAAACAAAACAAATTTCTTAAATAACATTGTCATTCATTAAGACTTACCACACTTTTCTTCTTCATCAACAAAGTAAACTGAATACACATTGAATACACAAGAACAAAAAAATATTCTTAAACAACATTATCATTCATCAAGACTTACCACACTTTTCTTGAATTTCAACAGCGGTGTGACATCGTCATTTTATCTCCAATCTAACGAATCATGAATTTAGTCTATGTTGGTAAAAATGAAAAGATCTGAGTCCACTACAATATTGTGATCTCTCATTTGTGTACACATGTGAGAGTTGATATACGATCCGGTGTGTAAATATGTTGAGTTTGAATTTGTATAGGAGTTGTTTGTTTATTGGAGTTGAAGACAAAATTCATATTGTTTCTTAATTTTAAAAATTTGTTGAGTTTCATGTGAAAAGAATTATGGCTCTTCCACTTTTTGTACAACTTCTAAGCCCTCATTCAAGTTCATTTTCATTATAACCGGATCCACAAGCACAAGTAATGCGGAGAATGGGAAAACACATCAAGAAACAATGTTTTCTTTTAGAATCATTGATTTTAGTGATAATTGAAAGTTTACGCAAATGGAAGTAAAGATCCTAAATAGCCTAA